GTCAAAAAAATTTTTCTTTTAAAAACTAACATCGTCATTAAAAAGTAGACGAAAAGCCCTTTCCAAAACATATTTTATTAAATTCACATCTTTTTTTTCAAGAAAACTACAAGTTATCAAAGTTTGACGTGTAAACGCATGAGTCCTGTACAACATGTGATCCGGCCTCATGCGTTTACACGTCAAACTTTGATAACTTGTAGTTTGCTTAAAAAAAAAGATGTGAATTTGATAAAATATGTTTTGGAAAGGGCTTTTCGTGTACTTTTTAATAAATATTTTAGTTTAAAAAAAAAAATTTTTTTGACCTTGAAAATTAAAAATTAAAATTTAATTTTTTTGTAAAATTTATTAACTAGTATTAATAATTCTAGTCCCATTTTGGGCAGATATGTTTTTGATAGGAAAAGAGCTCAGCTTTCATTCTAAATAAAAAAAAATTAAAAAAAAAATACCGATTGTACAAAAAAATGAAAATTAAATTTTAATTTTTAATTTTCAAGGTCAAAAAAAATTTTTTTTTAAAAACTAACATCTTTATTTAAAAGTACACGAAAACCCCTTTCCAAAACATATTTTATCTAATTTTTACCTTTTTTTTAAAGCAAACTACAAGTCATCAAAGTATGACGTGTAAACGCATGAGGCCGGATCACTTCCCGTGAAATCCCCCATATATACACACAAAAGGACTTTGTATCTGGAGTCGGGCATTTTGCCAGTTGGCAGTGACGCAAAGAGAGAAGAAGGACAACGATCGATATGTGGAATCAAGTCGAATGTCGTTTTTCCGTATTTTCCGAATTGGAAATGAAGGAATCGATTCATTTTCCAATGGAAACGATCGTTTCTCTGTGAAGAAAATTGTGATATGTCTTTACTGTGCGGAGACACTTTTGTGGGATATGTTTTAAAATTCCCTGGTTTTGTGAATGTTCAGGACAAATGCTTCTGCTGGTATCTACTTTTTTTTTTTAAAGAGAATATCGCACTTGACTTTAAAATTCTTCTTTGGAAAATTGTATTTAAAGAATGGATTCGTCTAAAATTTTTTTTTTTATTATTTTACTCAAATAACAGAAAAAAGCAAAATCTACTTAAACCGCTTAAATACACCTTTTAAAACGAAAAAATGATTGTAAAGTACCCTATTTATCTAAATTTAAAACTTTAGGTTAAGTTATAACTTTAGGACTTAAAAATAAAACAATATTCTCAAGTCCTTAGACTTGAATCTTAAATCAGTCAAAAATGTTTTTAATTAAAATTGTTTTAGTCAAAAAAGGACTGAAAGTAAGTTACAGTATGCGAACGAATTAATGATCTATTTAAATTTGAAAATAATATATAGAGGACAATTATAAGAAAATAAATAGAAAATTTTATCGACAGAATAAAAAAGATAATAATAATAAATAATAATAATAATTTGAATTAAATGAAAGTTAATATTTTTGCAGGTCAATTTTTGAATGAAGGAATCTATATTATAAATAGAAATGCTTGTACTTTTGTGTAAGTTGTGAGATGATATAAATTCAAAGTTTGTTTCTAAGAGAAAAATACTCAGTCAACTGTGTGATAAAACATGAATGGTATGACATGCAGGAACCTTTCTTAGACACTTATCTTGTTTATTCTCTAGTTTCCATCTGTTTTATTATATATGGACTTAATATTATAAATATAAATCTGCATGTGTATTTTTTCGCCCATTTTTTCCGCGACGATTTCATTAAATAATTGCCAAAAGAAAATAAACATTTTTTTCAAAGTTTTTCAGTCAGTCATTAATTCAAATTTATAAAAATTTTTACTAATTCAAATTTTAGAGAATTACAAAAAATACCTTGTCTGACTTAAGGTGGAATTTACTACTTAAAAGTGAAACTGCAAATATTATAAAGTGTTTTTGACCTTCTTATTATTTGTATTTATACTAATTAAAAAAAAAAAAAAGGAGTTAACTATTTGTTCTGATTAAAACTAATTTTATTACTATTAGAAAAAATTTCTATTCAAATTTAAAAAAAAAAATATGAATTGAAATAGATAGTTTTAAAATTATTATAATTACAATAATCATATATTCTGGCATAGGGAATTCAGGTAAAAGTCTGAAAAAATTTAATTTTTAGAATTCATATGAAAATTCTGATTTTTTTTTATCTTTTTTCTTTGACTCATAAACCATAAAATTACCACGAATTCTAATAACAAAACCTTCAATTTTCTCAATTACTGACAAAAATTTATTTTTTAAATAACTTAAATCTTGAACAACTATCATAAAATAAATAAATTATTTAATAAATAATTTTACTTAAATATTTCAAAATTAATTCAACTTTAAAAGAGTTGTGTTTACAATTTTTATAAATAAATCAACTTCAAACGGCTTCAATTTCAAATTTTATAAAATTTCAATGTTGAATGAATTTAATTAGAAATTTTAATGATCTTAGATTTTTGAAAAATTTTAATAATTCAAAATCTTCTAAAATTAGTTAAATTTGTCAATATATATTTAATTAATTATTTTAAAAAATGGATTTATAGAAGAATTTTAGTTAAAAACACCAAAAAATTGAATTTCGGAAAGTTACAAATGATTGCAGAAATTCAATTATTTTCAAAAGTAATAAAATTCTTATCACAAAATTCAATTATGTTCAAAATTTACCAACTAATCTCGACAAAATCCCAATTATTATCTTTATAAATAAAAAAAAAATTCTTCTTCAAAATTCAATTATTTTCAAAATTTTTTTTAAAATTAATTCAATTAAAAATTAATTTTAATTATTTTCAAAAAATCTCCTCTTATTTCAATGATTTTCAATATCTACTATTTTAATAAAATTACCCAAAAGAATTTAATTATTTAAAAACAATTATAATAAAATTATAATTATAATTAAAATTATAATAAAATTCTACGCAAACATTTAATTATTTTCATATAAATAATAAAAATTTCACAGTAATTCAATTATTTTGATAAATAGTAAAATTTTTACAGGTATTCAATTATTTTCATAAATAATAAAATTCTTTCATTATCATAAGGTAAATAATAAAACTCATCGTAGAAAGAAAGAATTTAATTATTTTCATAAATGTAAATGAAATTTTTCGTAATAATTCAATTATTTTCAAAAATTTTGATAAATCTCGTTATAAGAATTGAATTTTAATAAAATTCATTGCAATAATTCAATTATTTTTATAAATAATAAAACTCTTTGCAGAATTTTCAATTATTTTTAATACAATTTTTATCAAAATTCTCGCAAAATCTAATTATTCTTAAAAATTTTATTAAAATTCGTAGAAAGAATTCAATTATTTAAAAATTTGTTGATAAAATTCTTTATGAGAATTCAATTTTAAGAAACATTCAATTTTTCAATAAAATATTTATTTTTGTATTTAAATAATTGAATTCTCGTAGATTTTTCTAATAAAGTCTCAATTTTTCATACTTTTAACTAACAATTCTGTAGAATTTATTTTTATAAAAAAGTTTAATTGAATTTTTTTGTTTTTTAATTATTTAAATTTTTTATTTTCTAATATATATTTTATTAAAGAATTCCCGGATAATTAGAATTTCGTAAAATTTGAATTGTAAAGAAATAGATTTGAAAATTCTCCAAAAACTTTTTCAAAAATTGTTAACAATATAATTGTTATTTTTTTAACAAAAAGGTTTGCATTTGAATGTTTTGAAGAATCTTAATTCCTAAGGAAAAATAATAATAATTCAATATTTTAATATTTTAAGAAAAAATTATTGTTTTTGAATAATTTTAGAATTAAAGATATTCGTAAATGAATATTAACAGAATACATTTTTTTAAATAAAATTTTTTCCTTTATTTTCTAAAAATTCAAAAATTTTCAGTTTCATTTTCAATTAAATTTTCTAATTGACAAATATAATTTCTAAACATTTTTTCCCTTATTCTTAAAAAATTTGGAATTTTATTAAAATAATTGAAATTAAGAAATAGAATTGATGCAATTTATTTCCTTATGAAAATTGAGAATTTTCTACAAAAATATTTTTTTGTTTTTTTTCCCAAACGAAAAATATGAGTTTCTATAAAATATTGTTATTGAGAATTAATAATTATGCATAAAATGGGTATATTAACAATTTTCTAGTATTTTTTATAAATAAAAACGAGAAGAATTTGCATAATAATTGAGATCAGTCAAAGGAAATTTGTTAAAGAAAAAAGCTTTTAACAAACAAAATGGATATACTTTTTATTTGTTAATCATAATTTTTTCTAAATTTTCTAATTTCTAATATTATTTTAATAAAGAAAAAATAGGTAACTGCATATTTTCGATTTTTCAAACAATATTTTTTAAAGAAAAAAAAAACAAAAGCATAAGAAACTAACTTCAAACTGCGGACAGAATGAAAGAAAGAATACGACGATTATTATGTAGTTAATAATTATAATAATAAAATTTAAAAATGTTTTTTTGAGTTAACTTTGCAATAAATATGAAAAAAATCTAGTCTGACCCAAACGAGACTATACTACTGAAAATAGAAATAATTACCGTTTAGTTATCAGACACCTAATTTTACAAATTTTCTGCTTCATATACAAAATTAATAATAAAATTTTTCAATTTCTTTATTATTTTCCCAGTAAAATGTAAAACTATCACAATTTACAAAAAATACCGCAAAAGAGAGCAAAGTCGACATTAGGTCTAAATCTTTGAGAGAATAAATTTGAAAGCTTCTTGGCAAGAGAAAATAAATTTTTATTTTTTCTCTCTCTCCTTCTTTTTGGTAAAAGTATCATTTAACGAGAACGAAACGAAACAGAAATATATATAGTATAGTTCCCTCCCAGAGGGAATTGATTTGAGGTGTGTAATAAAAGAGGGTATTTTATGAACACGGATGGATTTTGTCATTGTTTAGAGGTGGGGATTTATATATATAATATATATACAATGTATAGGCTTACCCAACGGTTACGTCGAAAATGTTACTACCGACGGAACTAGATACAGCCATGTCGCCGAAACCCTTTCGTGCTACAATGACACTGGTAATGAGGTCGGGGATGCTGGTTCCGGCAGCGAGGAACGTGAGACCCATCACTTCCGGTGGTATTTGAACGGTATCACCGGCGACGTTCGCCCACCAAACCATCAGGTACGAATACGCTGCTATCCAGAAGATCGAGCCGATGAATGTTACAGCAAAAAATTTTTTACCTGCAAAACAATTTTATTTCAAATACAATTTTTATTTACAATACCAATTTTTTTTTTTACAATTTTATTCTTTTTTTTACAATTTCATTTTTGTATACAAATTTAATTTAGAATAAACAATTATTTTATAATCCAAATTTTTTTCAACTCCCTACGTTTTTACAATTATACTATTTACTGTAGAAATTTTTTTCAAAAACAAATTTTATTTACTCTCTAAATTTGAATTAGTCAAAAATAACTAATTTTGAAAGCAAAATGTCGATCACTGATTTAAATAGTAATATTTACAATAGTAATATTTACTAATGAAATGTAGAAAGAAATAACTAATTTCTTAACTCAAAAAATTACCAAATCTATAATAAATTTTCAAAAATAAAATAAAATTACAGTAATTACTAATTAAAAATTTATGTCTGACTAAAGTTCGCTTTTACCACTGAAATTAAAAAAAAACATAAAACAAAAGACGTTTACCAAAATTAAAATTTATTTTTGTGAAATTAAAACTATATTTTACTACTAAAAGTTAATTCAACGTTAATAATAAACTAGCAACAATTCGCGCGCTAAAGCGCGCGGCTAACTTCTTACTACCTTTTTTAAATAAAATTAGCAATTTTAAAAATAATAAAATTTGAAAACTTTCTAATTCAAATTTTTGTTGAAAACACTAAAAAAAATTCAATTATGGAGAAATTACAAATAATTGCAGAAATTCAACTATTTAAAAAAATAAATAAAATTCTTCTTATAAAATTCAACTATGTACAAAATTTGAAAAAAAATTTTGTAAAAATCCCAATTATCTTTACAAGAAGCAAAATTCTTCTCCAAAGTTTAATTATTTTCCTACATGTCAAAAAAATTCTTGTCCTAATATCAATTATTTTCAAAAATAAAATGCATTTTTCTAATTTCAATGATTTTCAATATCTACTATTTTAATAAAATTTCAAAAAAAAAAATTCAATTATTTAAAAAAATTTTTAATAAAATTGTATGCAAACATTTAATTATTTTCATAAATAATAAAAATTTCACAGGAATTCAATTATTATTTTTATAAATAATAAAATTTTTTTAAGGAATTCAATTATTTTCATAAAAAATAATGTTAAATTCTAGACAATAATAATTGAATTAAAATGACGAAAATAATTTTGATGAAGTAACAGTAACAATATTCTTATAATAATATAAAATAATGATTTTATTACTTGGTCATCTTTAATTATTATAAAAAATGAAGAAATCGATCACTTCGAGTCTTCGTCTCGGAGCAATCGATATCTTCATACATATTTTATAACAAATACTTTTATAAGTTGTTTAATTTAAAAGAGGTTTGAATTCGAAATTTTTGAAAGTAGTTAGACAATGTGAGTTCTCGGTTATAGTTCGCAAGGCCGCCGCTAGAGGCGCCACTAGCGCTGCAGTCGGTGAATGGCGCGCGTTTTTGAAATTAGTTCGCGAGGCCGCCACTAGCGCTGCAGTCGGTTATGGCGCGTATATTTGAAATTGTTTAATTTCTACCTAACCCTAATTTCTAGCCTAACCCTTTTTACTAGTGCAATTTGCTATGTGTGAATCCGTGAGTTGGGTATAAATATCTGGAATTCAATGCCAACCCACAGTCGGTATTGCAGATTCCATCATTAACAGTTGATTGAAATGCAGATTCCTACCCTACATTTTAATTCAACCGTCAGAGTAGGGAACTGTTTTTTCGACATGTTTCGACCCTCATCTGTGTTATATTTTACACATGTGTTAGTGCAATTTGTGATGTGTGAATCTGTATATTGGGTATATGTACACACGACAAAGAAATTTACCTGGAACAACCATAAATTTCACTATATTAACGAAAGTTTTAGTTATTTCAGTTAAGACTTTCACCTTATTGCAGTTCCAGTTAAAATTTTATTTCCGTGTACAACACCTGAAATAGATTTCAGATATTCACACCTGTCTCTTTTTAATTAATTATTAATTCATTAATGATTTGTCTTATCTATCCAAATATTTTATTTTAACGAGTCTTGAAAATTTTTTTCTTCAAGACAAGTACATATCAGGATATTTTACTTTAAGAGCTTTCTTATTATATAATCATTATAAAATATACATTACAATTAAATGTAAGTAGTTTTTTATCAGTTGATATTAATTCATTGTTGAATCATAGTTGATGCATTAATGACTCATTGTTGATTCGTTAATGATTCATCGGTGATTAATTAATGATTTATTATTGATTCATTAATGGTTTACGGTTAAATAATTCTTTAAAGATTCATTATTGATTCATTTCTTATTAATTTTTTGAATAATAATAATTTATTAGTTAATGATTTGTCTTGTCTATATAAATACACAGAGAAAAATTAATAGTCAAAATTACACTGAGAGAAGTTTAGCACAGCATCTGAACTCAGATACAGCAGCCGCGCGAAATGAGGGTTAGATATTGTTCCCTGATTTTATTCAGATGCTGAGATAAAATAGAACAGCATATGTGCTAAAACTTTCGTATATGTGTTAAAAGTTTAGTTTCTGTAATTCTGTACACCAGAACGAGAAGTCTTTAAAACCGTGGGACCAATGTTGCGCGGAAGGTTAGGTACAGAATCTGAAACATGCGCAATGCAGAATCTGAGCTAAACTTCCCTCAGATACACCAGATCATGGACGAATATACGTTGAAAGACTTTTCATTTCAAAAAGGGTAAAATGATGTTTTTATGTTACTTAATCGTATGAACGTATCCACTATTAATACAGTTCAAACTAATAAGTGGGTCTCTACTAAACGAAAAATAATATATTTTTCTCATCTAAAATTGCGCGAAATTGTAGTAGAGGTGGGAGGGGGTGAATCTCAAAAAAAAAACTACATGACATCATTTGGGAACGCTTCCTAACCAATTGACAAATATTTCAGTTCATCCCAGTAAACGAAAACTAATTGAAATGAATTAAAAAGAATTCACAAAGAGCTTTCGTGAATCCCGCTTTGTGACAAATACGAATTGGAGCCATGATGCAATTTTCCTGAATTCGTGAAACTGTATTGAACTTCCGAACCTTCTATCCGTACCAATTCACTGGACAAGTTTTGAGCCTTTAATTTTTTTCAATTCGTTAGCACGAATTCAATGCATTCCTTGGCCATTTCTTTCGAATGCGAATTCGTTTGGACAAATTGGTACATATTGAATTAAATTCAATTGAATATACAAAGAGCTTGAGTGAATCCCGCTTTGTGACAAATACGAATTGGAGCCTACCAAAAATGTTAATTCGTTTCAATTCATTTGAATTAGTTTTTTTTTACTGGGATTATTGGTTCATTAATGACTCATTGTTAATTCATTGTTGATTCCTTAATGATTCATACTTGATTTATTTATGATCCATTGATGATTCATTAATGTCTCATTGTTAATAAATTAATGATTGATAGTTGATTTATTTATAATTCATTATTGATTCATTGTTAATTCATAGTTGATTCACTAATGACACATTGTTGATTCATTAATGATTCATAGCTGATTTTTTATGATTCATTAATGACTCATTGTTAATTAATTGTTGATTTATTAATGACTTATAGTTGATTTATTTATAATTAATTGTTGATTCATTAATTATTCATAGTTGATTTATTAATGGTTCATAGTTGATTTTTTATGATTCATTCTTGATTCATTAATGATTCATTGTTGATTCATTAATGACTAATTGTTGATTTATTAATGCTTCAGTGTTGATTTATTAATTATTTACTGTTTTTTCATTAATGATCTGTCTTAAATATCCAACTATTATTGAAAATGAATGATGAAATGTTAATAGTAGTGAATAAACTCCATACATTAGGTTGAAAAACTTATCGATGTCGAGTAAAAATGCTTGGTATTGTAGATTTAGTAGATTTTAGTAGATTTAGTAGAAATGATATCTTATTTTAAAATAAATAGATATTTTTTCCAAATATTTTTGGGCTGTTCCTGTAGAGAATAAAAATGGAAAAGATGTTGCTGATGCAATGTAATATTTAGTAAATAAATGTATTCCAAAATACCTGCATTCAGATAATGAAAAGAAAATAATCTTACAATTAACAATTTGAATCAGAAACGAAAATGAATAAAATTACTTTTAATCAGCATGCAGGAATCTAAAAAATGTCAGTTGTTGAACGATTTAATAGAACACTTAAGAGTGAAGGTGTAAATTTAGAAGTTGTTGACACATTAAAAGTACCTTTTTTAAAATTAAAAAAAGTACCGCAGTGAATACCAAAGTTAAAAAAATCATGATAAAGTACGAGTCATCAAATAAAACATTAACTAAAACATTCACCATTGGGGTCGTCCATAAATTAATTAAAACATTTATGGGGGAGGGTCTACACGGAAAAAAAGTACGTGAATCCTTCCTTGAAAGTGCTTGACTTTTGGATAGGACACAAAATACAAGGCTGTATCATATACTTTTTATTAGAAAATATAGAAAAGTCCTAGAGTTATTCTAGTACTAGTATGGGCAACAGTGTTTTTTAAATTTTAACGAAAAGTCATTTGCTCAGTTTTATAAAGTACGTGAAAGATTAGTTGACTGCGCTTGAAAATTCTGTAGAGCATGCGCAGTGTGCGTTGCGCGTTTCTACCCAAGGTAAATGCCAGCTGATCGTCTGTTTCCATTTGTGTTAATTTCAGATGTGAATATACTATTATTTTATGAAAAACAAATAGTGTTAATATATATTTGTCTTCAAGAATTGACTTTCAAAAAAATATTTTTTATTTTGTGTTTCTCACAAAACAGAATGTTATGTAAGTATCAGTTTTCAGTGAAATAGCATGTCTCAGAAGTCGTGAAAAATTTCACCATGTGGTATATAAGAACAATTCGATACGTACTTTTAAGTGTTAAAAGTGTGTTTATATTTAAGTTATACGCGAATATATGTGTGTGTTATAGGT